TTAGCGAATCGTGCATTACTGGCTTATTATAAAGATAAAAAGAAAGAAGTGATGAAAATGATGTCTATCTGTCGCTTTGAAGAAATTTTAATTTGGAAAACACTGACAACTGCGAGAAACATCTCGAAAAATTGGTTCTGACGTATATTGGATGATATAACCAAAAGTTAGAAAAATTAGTATTTGTAAGACGAACAAAGTGGCTAAAGGTAAATCCCTTCGATTTGCATATTGGAAGCGCTCCTGTGTAGACAAGCTATTTTCATTTGCACTGACTTCAAAAAAATAAGACATTGGATATTATTGGACAATATTCTCTCCTGGATTAATGTTCCTCGCATTTCACATAAAAATTTGTCACTTTTTGCAAGGTATGAGTTCTCACCTCATAACCCCTAATGTTCCCATTTTTCTGTTCATCATCCACTGAATCCCATTGCACCATTACACCGCGTTTACCATCAACATCAGCGCGAACATTCCTTGGGGGCCCTGACGGCACTCCTTCATAGGTTCTGAATTTCATCAGGATGCAAAATTGTCTTCAAGAAATGAGAAAATCTCAATAGATACTTTGCTTCTGATGTTCCTGATGAGGGGCTTCTTCCAAACATATTCTCAGCAAACAATTGAACTTCATAGGTGGTGTAAGGTTGAAGATCGCGTAAGGTGAAATCACTTGCTCGTAGAGAAGGTATCCGGATTTCGTGCTGAAGCGACAACTAATTTTATTCAACAACTGTACATAAAGTGAAAGGCCTTAGTTGATGTTCACTTCTCACGCAGTTAGCTGCTAACTTTCCACTCACCCAATGATCCGTTCCAACTTCCTTATACAGTATCAAGTACCCTTTAGGCTGTCCATTCCACTGATTTGCCAATAACGGAGTCCAAGAGAGTGACAGGGAGGTCGCCGATAAAGGCTCAGCATAGAGTCGCGAAGCTGGCGTTTCTGGATTCGTCTGTTTTGTCTGAAAGGCAAAAACTTTCCGAGTAAATCAAGTAGTTATGAAGACAGAAATCTCTGCACCTCAAAGGCCACACTGGGTTCGCTAGGCGCCCCCTTTCCCCGGACATTCTCAGCGATGAGGCGAAGTTGATAGCGCGTATAGGGTCGAAGCCCTTCCACAACTATGGATCGAGCTTTCGGAGCACTG